TATAGAAATATGTTCATGTGAGATGTGTATTAGAGTCGAGATATAGTCCAAAATATTTAAAGATATATCGTTGATTACACCTGTAAACTACTTATATAGAAACATGTTCATGTGAGATGTGTATTAGAGTCGAGATATAGTCCAAAAAATTTCAAAGTAAACTTTTTAGCACCAGTGACATAACATAAAATTAGAAAATATACCTTACTTGATAAATACTATATAATATTTTTCCATATTACATCCGAAGTAATAGAAATAAAAATAAATCATTTTACTTTATTTTATATATATATTTCTTTGTTTCGGATATTTGCGCAAAGCTATACAATGACTATATATAAGTTATCCGTTCCTAATTTTGAATTGATAAAGTAGTGAGATAAATTAGTCAATACCAATATCGAACTTTCGAGTTACTCTATTCGAGTAGTTGGATTTGACTTTCATGCTTATGACGTCCTCATGGCTCTCAGTTGCCGATCGCGATTTTTCAGAACAGCATAAGGTATATGAGCCCTCAGTACGCTAATCACTAGATCACGCCGGGCCCATTTGCAAATCATAAACCAACTATTGACTGTGTTAAGCCTCTCAAAGTAGCATATGTTATCAGATAACATTGTAAACAATATTCATAGAGTGCTACCTGTGCGAACTAAGCTCCAAGAAAACGAAGAAATTAGAAAGAAATGTATTTAAAACAACAAGCATTTGTTTTTCTCAACGAGTAAGAAATATTTACACAAAAGCCTTATGTTATTCGGTAGACTATTTTTTGAAGAAATTGAACAAAAATTATTTTATATTTTGTAACATGCATTATCAAGTTCAACATCATTTACGCTATTCCTTTTTCAAATTTCGTACAAAATATTCGATAAAAAACTTTGTCTATTCGAAACACTATTAGCGAATAAACTTGATGAAATTTGATTTTAACAGCGCGAAATCCTTAACAGTTGTGAACCTTTTCAAAGATTATAAACACCTTGATTTTAACAGCGCGAAATCCTTAACAGTTGTGAACCTTTTCATAGATTATAAACACCTTGATTTTAACAGCGCGAAATCCTTAACAGTTGTGAACCTTTTCAAAGATTATAAACACCTTGATTTTAACAGCGCGAAATCCTTAACAGTTGTGAACCTTTTCATAGATTATAAACACCTTGATTTTAACAGCGCGAAATCCTCAACAGTTGTGAACCTTTTCAAAGATTATAAACACCTTATCTATAATCTTCAAATATATCGTACTTTTTTCTTTATGTGATGCGACGTTGATTTTATGCGACAGCAATTTGCGATCCTTTGGGATAAAACGCTGCACTTTAAATTGCTTGAAAATACTACCACTGAAAAGCTGATTAAGATATTAAATTTAATCCTTTGTGGGGTTCTATCTCTTTATACTTAAGCTACGATATTCATTACACCTCAAATATTCAAACGCTGCTATGGCAACTGAAAAGTGTATACTACATTTGTTTTATGTGCATAAACAAACTATAACACACAGGTTAGTGTTCCCTTTAATACTGATTGATTACAAGCTATAACACATAGGTTAATGTACCCTTTGATACTGATTGATTACAAGCTATAACACACAGGTAATGTACCCTTTAATACTGATTGATTACAAACTATAACACACAGGTTAATGTACCCTTTAATACTGATTGATTACAAGCTATAACACATAGGTTAATGTACCCTTTGATACTGATTGATTACAAACTATAACACACAGGTAATGTACCCTTTAATACTGATTGATTACAAACTATAACACACAGGTTAATGTACCCTTTAATACTGATTGATTACAAACTATAACACACAGGTTAATGTACCCTTTAATACTGATTGATTACAAGCTATAACACACAGGTTAATGTACCCTTTAATACTGATTGATTACAAGTTATAACACACAAGTTAATGTACCCTTTAATACTGATTGATTACAAGCTATAACACACAGGTTAATGCACCCTTTAATACTGATTGATTTTGAGTACTGTTATAAACTGAAACTCATAAAGAAGGTTGTTGATATTTTGACCGAAACCTTTTAAGTGGAATATGAAACAACGTTGAAGCAAAAATCTCGCTTTCGTGTCTTAATTAGCATATTTATTTCCCCTCGTTATTAGCTATATTAATATCTGAACGCATATATTTCTGTATAGTAGTATTTGAGGATTCCTACTGTCCTGCAAATGTTTTAAAACTAAAATGACAATTTTAGCATTCATCTTGGAAACAGCCATAGAGGGCAAAGACTCAGTCTCTTGATGAAAACTTTAATATATACAGGGTTGTGGTATTATCAGGCAAAACAGACACTTATTTCGCTTTTAGACAAAATAATTTATTGAAAAAAGGTAAAAGTTATTGGGGTTATTTGCATTCCTAATGGGTTTATGACTCCTAGTAAGTTTCCCTGTGTAGCAATAATGTAATATCTGAACAATTGTACACGACAATAATACAGGTTATTTTTACCCTAACGAATATAACTATGCTTTTAACAATATGCAATTCAAACTCTGCAAGGACTTCTCAGAATTTTATATCAAGCACATCAGGAGATCAGACTCATCATTAACCTGAGGTTACTAGCATCTTTATCTCGGAATATGTCCAGCACTCCAAATATTGGGAATAATAATTATACACTCATTATTTGCACTGGTCACATGCATATAGCGTGTTGCACAGTTGGATTCATTCTGTTAATACATAACGGCTAAGCATGTGGAATCTGTACTGTAATTCGCAGAAAAATACCAGAATAAAAATATACTCATTTCCTAAGTTATGAAAGTGTTACAGCCATGATACTTCCATATTAAAGGGTCAACATTTAATAAAAGTTACTGCGCGCTATCGATCGAGTTCCAAAAATTTATGACGGCCACACTCTTTTACTTTAAAAATATATTTAAATAATTTTTGTTCTGTATACTTAAGAAGAACGAAATTAATAAAAAAGCGGTATTTTAAATACAATAACGTTCATAAGCGCCATCAAGACCATGCTTTAATGCATTAACGTGATTAAAAATGTTTATTAGAAAATTTATTAGCCTCTTACAAAGAGCTGTTCCCACTATAGTATTCACAAATACGCTTACTTCTTAACGTTACGCTTACTTAACTCAGATCTCCCCAGTGACTCGGAGATAACTCTTTAGGCTTTCGATGCTAAAATTAGGGTTTTGATACATGTGGTGAGCAGAGTATAAACAGTTAACTGTGTTGCTTAAAAACAACCTAATCAAACTTAATTCAGCATGTGAATGTGAATTATGTGAGTCTCTATGCATATAAAAATATCTGATTATTATCGGTAAGTATATCATATATAATGCATTAAATTAACTGAAAACTATATTCTGTGAATAGTTCATTAAAATTCTCTGTGTAGATTTATTTAAGTTTTTAGTCACTATAGTTAACTGTATCATTATAAAATGCTTTTATTAAGCAGCAACGAATGTGTTAGTGATTCCTCAACCCCTGTAGAAATGTTACACGCTGACAATTTCCATATAAGATAGTTGCAGTGTTGCACGATTATTCCACTTCCATATAAGATAGTTTCAGTGTTGCACGATTATTCCACTTCCATATAAGATAGTTTCAGTGTTGCACGATTATTTCATAGATTGCCAACACAGACGGTCAAATCGTTACCTGTATCAATAGATCTTAAATGTTGTATAAATCTTGAATTAGAAAAGTGACACAATATCTTGATCTCCTGTAATTTTGTTCACTAATACAGTACAATAATCATCATGACAAAACATTCACTACATCAACCCTAATTTTGTAGATTGAATTAGGATAATTTGACCTCAGAAAATCTAGCCAAATTAACTAATTGATGGTAGCTCGTTGTAAAATGTTTTCTCAAAAACTCTTGAAAGTTGAATTGGCAAGTTTATTAAAGACGTTCAAATAAGATGCAATAGTTGCTTTAGATAAATAAATGAAGTCGTTCTGGTTTCTCTTGCGAAAGTTTTATATTCTTTTAAGGCTTTAGTAAAGGATTCGATCAATTTCCTAAACGGTGCTTTTTTTTCTTCATAAAAAATTATTTAAAGTTAGCATCTAAGCAGTTTTAAGCATTGAACTTAATAAAATGATTTAATGAACATCATAAAAGTTATAAGTCAATCGTATTGTATTTGATATTGA